CCCCCCCCCCCCCCCACGATGCCTGTCCCGCCCTTCCTCCGACTAATGTTCCCCTGTCTCCCCGCCCCCACCCTCCTGACTCTTGTTATTTTTTGGCGACCCCGTTGCCCGGCCGGCCGGACGCCCGCCCGCGCCCCGCGCAGAACGACGCGGTTCTCAACTCCCTCGAGGACATCCTCAACAGCTTCCAGTCGCAGCTGGAGGCCGGGGCCTTCACCTGCTCCGGCTGCAACAACACCCTCGAGGCCAAGGAGCAGTACACCAGCGCCTCCGACCGGCGCTACCACCAGGCCTGCTTCAAGTGCTTCGTCTGCCAGGCCCCCTTCGCCGACATGTCCTATGTCGAGCACCTGGGCAAGGTGTACTGCGAGGAGGACTTCGCCAAGACCTTCGGGGTTTCCTGCTCCGGCTGGTACGCCCGGCCTTTTCTTTTGCATGCTGCTCCCTGCCATTGCCGTCTGCACATGGGCTGACCGCGTTCGGACTCCCCTCCTGCCTTTTGTGCTCTCCTCCTGCCTTTTGTGCTCTCCTCCTGCCTTTTATACCCCCCTCCCTCCCATCTCCCCTCCCACTCTCCCCTCCCACTCCTCCGCCCTGCAGCAAGGAGATCATCGTCGGTGAGATGGTCCGGCCGGAGGTGCTCCAGGGCACCGGCCCGGCGATCTCCTTCCACCCGGGGTGCTTCGCCTGCCCGGAGTGCAAGAAGAGCGCCCACGAGGCGTACATCCTGCACGAGGGCCTGCCCTACTGCCCGGAGGATTACCACCGGCTGTTTTCCCCCCGGTGCGACATGTGCGCCGAGGTGCTGGCCGGCTCGGAGCACATTAACTGGGGCGCCTCCCGGGTGCACATGGACTGCTTCAAGTGCGAGACCTGCTCGGTCCCCCTGCACGGCGCCAAGGCCTACCGCATCGACGACCGGCCCTACTGCGAGGTGCATTACCACCTCCTCCGGGGCATCATGTGCGCCGCCTGCGAGTCGCCCATTGTCGGGCCCTGCCTCAAGGCCATGGAGAAGGACTTCCACCCGGGGTGCTTTGTGTGCGAGGTGCGTACTTCCCCGGGGGGCCCTCTTCCTCTCCTCCTGGCTTGCTTGCTAATGCCCCCCCCCCTCCCTCCCCCTCGCCTTTGCAGACCTGCAAGGAGCCCCTCAGCGGGACATTCGCCCAGGTGGGCGGCACCATTGCCCGGTGCCATCCGTGCAATGATTCGGCGTAAGGATGCGCGCGTGCGATGGGGGCAGTCTCCCCCCTCGCCGTTGTGCTCCTCTCCCTCCCCCCCCCCCTCTGCTCGGGGGCGATGCCGGGTTTCCTATGATGTCTGCGCCTGCGCCGAGCCTCTTCCCTTTTACTCGAAAAAACAACTCCCCAAACAATGCACACCCATGTGTCGTCTATGTTCGCTTGGCTGTCCTCGGGGTTGATACTGGGGTGCGTGGGGAAGGGAGGGGGGGAGGGGGGGCCGTCGGGCGCCGAGGCGGCCGGCGCCGGGCGCTCAGGCGTCACCATACAGCAGGAAGCTGTCCACCAGGGACTCGGCATCCTGCGGCCGGCCCAGCAGCGCCCGGAGGCAGGTGGCCGCTTGCTCCAGGTGGTATAGCAATGTCAGGGCCAGGCGCAGGCTGACGCGGCAGGTGAGCACCGGCTGGCGCGGGCCGGCCGCCAGCCAGGTATCGGCCGTTCGCCGGGCCGCCTCGCCGGCGGCATACTGCAGTCGGAGGGCTGGCACACGCATACGCACGCACACACACACACACGCGTGTTCGCATATCCGCGTGTTCGCATATACACACGTATACACGCAAATGCACACATATACACGCAAATGCACACGCAAATGCACACACGTACACACGCAAATGCACACACGTACACAC